TGATAATGGATTCGGTCATTCAAAATATATTAAAGACTATGTTGTAGCCTGAGATTCATGACAATGCTTCTTTATCAAGCCATAGGCCAAGGTCTTTCCTAAGTTTGTGGCAGACTTTGAGTCTCATATTCAGACAACAGTTCAGATCCCTTCCAACACGATTCTTTTTTTTTTTTTTCCCTTTTTGTCTTTTTTCGTGACCGGCAATGGATCGCAACATTCAGTGTCGCGCCCGTACCGGGCCGGGACCGGCAACGGGATCGCAACCCTCGGTGTCGCTCCTGTACCTCGCTCAGCCAGTGAGCGGGAACCGGTCTGTATGTGGGATCCGAACCCTCGGTGGGAGCGCCGCTGCGCTTCCCAAGCGGCGCACTGTAGCAGTGTGCCACCGGGCCGGCCCCCGACACGATTCTAGGCAGCCATCGGAAGTGGACCAAAGATGAAACTCATTTGCCATTCCGGAAGTAGGCTTGTTGTGAGATCAACTAGCACTTCCAGGTTTGTTTCTCATATCTTCAAAAGAATATTACACTGACAAGCAACATTTTAAAATGGAACACAACAACATATTTCCTGAGTAAAAACTGTATCGGTGTGTGGGGGGTGGGGGTTCTGTACAGATATTACTTATAAATCATTAACTTCAAATGATTAGATATTATTACACAGCTAATCTAGTACCTGAACATTAAGATTCCCCACATTCTATGATAAATCATCTGATAACCAAAATGAGGAATTCTTTTACTCAAAAGGTAAAAAGGAAAAAACAATCTATATGTTCCTTAACTTACTCAATGCAGTAAGTTTACCCTCACAGTGCCACTCTTAAAAAAGGAACTAATAAAAGAACTTCCAACCAGTTAACTGTGTGTTTTTTCCCCTATGGTCTCTTATATTCAACTAGCTGAGAAAGCCTGAAGCATAATTGCCATAACCCTTCATTTTTACAATGAGCTTTCTGTTTTTGTCTAATTGCAGACAGACACACACACACTCACTCATTCTACACCTTCATCATTAATTTGTCTTTTTCAGATTCCTTTATAGACCCTAGGCCCATTGGGATTCTGACTTGAAAAAGAAGTCATTATGACAAGCTCTGCGAATACTGTGTTGCTGAAAGGCCTGCACCGTTTCTTCTTTTCCAAAAGAGAAACTGACATTTAACAAACTGGCTTTTCAAATTACCAACCTAACTTTAACCTCAGAGCTATCAATGGGAGAAAAAAAAAAAAACAAAAGCAAAAACACAAATTCGCTACAATTAGCTGTTAAATAAGTAAAGCAAAAGCATGTTGAAAATTAAATTTCTCAACCCAAAGCACTAAAACATGTGATATACATGTTTTCTCATATTCAAGGTTCTGCTTAAAAAAAAAAAAGGCAATATAGGTTATATGTATTGCAAAGTGGAACATAAGGAAGATCTAAAATAGAAATAAAACTTTCTTTTCTTTCTTTTTTTAGAAAGAATATTGTAGACAATAAAGGCAAAATTCATAGTTAACAGACATGGGACTGCTCATGTGCTTTTTAAGATTTACATACAGTAACTCCAACATCTTTCTTTTTCTTATTTTTAATTAAGGAGGATGAGTTGTATTCTAAGGAAGCTATCTGGATGCTGCTGGCTGAAATACAGATTTGATCTTCTCATGCTGGTTAGCTAACATTGATTTTCTGCCCCAGTGGAAGAGATTTTACTCTGATGCATGCCATTTAAATTCATTTTACACAGCTGCTTAATGTGGCTTGGCAAGGCCCAGCCAAACAGGCTTTGTGGGTCTAAATAGGACTCCTGAGTTGGTAAAGGACAGATCCTATGGATTAGCAGCTGATGATAAATGCTTTTCTCCCCCCACAGTTATCTTCCTACTGACTCACGAATTGACCTTGAAGGTACCACAAGAAAGTGAAAAAGAGAAAAAGACAATTTCCTAAGAGTGTTTACCTCATTGTACGTTTGTTATTTCACTTTGAGGATTATGTTTATAAAATTCTACATTTGTTGGTCCACATTTAGGACCATGTTTATAGAATTTAGAACTCTGAATTACAAAATTATCATTTGCTCTTGCTGTCTAAATAAATGTACACTGCATATAAAACTACTAAAAAGCTCTCTGTGTCATGCATTCATAACAAGTAGTGAAAGCATAACTCTGTAAGTTTATTCTTTAAACAAAGCTAGTTGTCTGTTCCCTGTTTCATTTTAACCAAAGATGAGATATGTCTCTACTGAAACTAACAAACACAATGAAGTCTTACAGGATGATCTCATCGTTAATATACGCAAAATGATGTCAATAACACTATTTTTGCTTAGTAACTCACTCAATAATAATATACGTTAAGAATATTTATTAACCTAAAAATAGTGACAGAGCCTTATGGTACATAGTTTGCTAGTAGGAAAGAAGAGAGAGACTTTTTGTTGCTGTATGTAATTCCTGTGTTGAAATTGGTAACAATATGGCAATATCATGTTTAGAAAGAAAATTCTGTGTTGGATGATTTTGTTGTATTTTCCTGGTGAATTCCGTATTATAATACTTGTTGGGAGAAGGAAATAATAGAACTCTTTGGCACAGTGACGATACAATGAAACCCCTCCTAAGTCCTATGAATAGCCTATGTCAGCTCCACTGCAGTGAATCTCTTGTCAAATGAGATGCTGAGCTCTGAATTTGGAGGTGGGAGTAGCAGTTCACTGCAGTGGCAGGAATGATAATCGCAGTCATGAGAACAGTGCTGCACAACACAGGTCCCGAGACAAAACCACCACAACAACGGGGGAATGACGCCCGAGGAGGGGATTTCACTACTTTACACAGATAAAAGTTCTTATTTCCTACTCAGGCATGAAGGAAAGCAGCCATGCCAAAGCCATGCACAGACAGGACCCAGAGGACAGCATGCAGGTTTCCACCAGACTGCCACAGTACTGTTCATAGAAAGAAAAACAAGACAAACACGGACAATAGAGACAACCCCCTCTGAGACAGATGTCCTGTTAGGTCTTCTACTGTCTTTGTTTGGACGTTCCTTTCACAGCCAAATGGCACGTTTGTTAACAGTTTAAAAGAAAATGCCCAGGTCCCGCAGCGAGTCCGGGGTGTGTTGCTACCTACCCGTACTGGTCAGGCTGGTGCGTCATGGGAGCCTGAGAGGTGCCATAGTTGGGGTGCTGGGAAGAAAACATGGGGCGTCCGCCAGCCCCAGACTGGCTGGGATAAGCAGGCGACCTAATGTATGGTGGCCTAAAGTGGAACAGAAGAACAGCCTCTTTGGATTTGTTCTGTAGCACAAGTATGAATCCCCTGTCTGTACGTTATCCCCACACATAGGCGTGGGGGTGACAGAACGTGGTCAATAAGCAGAGTGCTCTGTACTGTGCAACTGCCTCGGAGAAGACTGCATAGGATTCCTCCGAAAAAAAAAAAAAAAAAGTAGGGACAGGGCAAAGGAGAGAGAAAAGTAAGACCTAACCCCAGTTTACAATTTTGAAGTATGGCTTTGACTTTGGCAAAAGCAAAAAATTAATATATGGCCCCCATTTAAATTCCTGGATAACTAAAATGGGAGTCTATGAAGGAAGGCTTTGGAATGGCTTACTGATTAGAGATAGAAAATGATAATGTATAAATGTAAATTTATATATTAATTTCTATAAAGTGATGTATAAACTGATTTAGAGAGAGAACACAACAAGACTTTTTAATCAAATGGAATTATGCCATCATTCCTATCTTCTCAGGTCACTATCAAAAGCTTCATGTCAAATGCAATCAAATACTTTATATTTAACAAAAAGAAAATAACTTGGTCTTTATGAGTTTCAACAACGGACAATTCATTTAAACCTAAAGTAGAACTTCAGCTAGACCAGCCAAGCCAGTCTCCACACGCAGGTTTATCAAAACATTCCCTAAAGCTTGCACAGGTTTGGCTGAGAGGTGACATGCTGGGGCCCAGAAGATTCAAAGTAACTGTATGTGGATGAGAGACAGAGGGAGTGAATGATTTTCATTTTAAGTCCTCAAGGGAAATTTATTATTATTTGGAGCAAACAATGAGATTGGAGGGGTCCCTACATTCCCCAAATAGCAGCTTCAGAGGAAAAGTAACAAAGGGACACATTTAAACACACACACACATACACACATACGTTAGCTTTTGTTTCCCTTTGACAGAAACCAGAATCTTCTATCTTTTCTTCTGAAGATACCATTAAGATACATATCTTTCAATGTACTTTGTTTTAAAAACTACTTACAAGTACTTCTTTTGAAACATGTTCACCTCTGCTGCCTCATAAATTTTTAATTAAGTCTATTATTTTTATACAGGCCAACTATTTACTTTAGGAATTAATTTTTAAAATCAGGATTAAAAACAATTAAGTATTTGAAGTTAAAGCCTTGCTCTATCAACTTAAACCTTCTAAAATATCACTTTTGCTTTATTAACCACATTTTGGTTTAGACAGAGAGGAATGCCCAGAAAAACAAAATATAACATAAGAATATGAAGTATATAAATATCACACATATACATTTAGACAAACACACAATACACATATGTACATATACAATATTTCTATTTTATAAAGATTTTTATGGTAGGGTAAGAAAAGGGGGGCATATTTCTTCTTTAGTGTTTTAGATCTTAAATAGTTTTTAAGCTTTACTATTTCCTGCTTAAAGCTCCATGCAACCAGAACTGGTTTGCTGGCTACAAGGACTATACACAGACATTTCAAATCACCTCCCACAATTTGTGTGCCCACCATGCAGATTCCTTCCTCCATGTATCAAACAACATGGTTTGTCACTTATTTCTCGGACCTTTATATTACAGAATATATTTAACACAAAAAGAATGGCCAGGCAAAGTCATATTCTACGACTGGCATGTGATCTAGGGAAGCGTGTCAGGTACGTGGTCACATGTAAACGCACAGCTTCTCTGCCCGGGCATTTTCCTGAGTGGCATACCTGCTTTGTGCTGAGTTTGCAGCAGCCTGCATCACTGCTGCAGCTGCCTCCTGTGCCTTACGGTTCACAGTTGGCATTGGCGGCCCCATTCCTGGCCCTCCCTGCTGAGACATGCCAGGAGAACTGGGGGTCATGCTGCTCATATTTCCAGGAAATGGTCTGTTCTGCATCCCAGCTGATGGCATTCGTCCCAGGGGCATAGCACCACATGGCTGGCTTGGCCCTTGTCCATGCATCTGGTTGTTGGCACTGATACCCAAACTGGGCCCTGGGCCGCTGTAGCTTGCACTGGGCACCCCACTATACGTTGGGGGTCTGGAGTAGTTACCTAAACAAAAAGCAAACACAAATTAAAGCCTTTTATTTAATCTGTAAACTTGTGAAAACATTCACTGGAAAAACTTTTTGTCCAACAATGTGATCACCACGGAGTATTAATCAGGACCCTTATCAGCCCTTCCTGTTGGTGCTGAGGAGGCTGCCAGTCTCCACACACCCCCTCTCTGCACATTCCAAAGGCCCCTGCAGAGTGGCCCCAAAGATAAAGCGCCCCACAGGACCACTGCCATACTGAGGAGAGATTCGATCTAATCATAAAAAACTCTATTCATAGGCAAGAGATACTAGTTCTGGGTGCTGCTTGGGTGTTCAGCACCTCACACTTTTACATTTTAGCCAAAATAATGATTTCAACTCCCAGTCTTTAGGTGAGGACCACTCTGAGACTGCATGGCTACATCACTGCTCTGTTCAACAGCTATGATAAAGGGTTCAAAACGAAGACACGAAGGACAAAATGCACACATGGCCAAAATTATCCTTCAAAACCCCACAGGAAGATGCTGTGTGAAAACCTGATATGAGTCCAACACCGTTATTCTCCAGTGTTAGGAACAACCCTTTTTTGGTTTATGTGAGCACCAGATAAAGGTGTTGGTTTGTGCTTGGTGCCACGTCTTGTGAAAAACAGCTCCAAGCACTAGCACAGCGCAACGGTGGCACGAAGGAAGGAAGGCCGGGACGGAGACTGCTTGCCTGGCCGCGCACTCGTGGGGGAGAGAAGTGCCCACAATGGCCCCTACTGCATCGGTGGTTTGGTCTGCCCTTTCCTTCCACACCTTTTGAGTGCAAGTACATAAATTAAAGGCATATATGATTCCACTTTCAATAATAATAACTGCAGATATTCATTGCTGAACCATAGTGTGTGCCAGACACCTGATTAAGTTCTTTGCCCCAGTGAATTCATTCATTTCTCCCAATAACCATATGAAACACAGATACCACCAGGACTCCATTTGCAAGTGAGAAAACTCAAGAGCTAGTAGATTAGGACTGACACTCAAGCAAACTGACTCTGGAACTCATGTATTTAACCAAAAAAACATGCTGTCTCACAACAAATGACAGTTGAAATAAATATAAAAAGACAAGTGTTCATAGGGTATGGATTAGTGTTTCTCAATCGGTCCTTACTACTTTCTGGATGACTCTCCCATCCATATTACATAACTATTCACTTACTATATGCCAGAAACTATTCAGGACTCAGGGGACATAAAGTTAAATACAACCTGATTCCTGCCCTGGAGAAGCTCACAATCTATGTGTGTACAGACAAGAAAAAATACAAAAGCAAAACCAAAGAGGTAATGCACTGTGTCAACTGCAAGGAAGGAGAGTAAACCTGATCTGGGACGGGGTCAGGCCATCTGTGGAGGGGGGTCTGGAGCTGAAACTAAGCGCCCACGAGGGGCAGCCTCAGGGTGGGGAGCTGGGCTGGATGAGCTTCTGCACTTGCTGACTGTGAGAACTCAAGTAACCTGCTTTCATCTGTCCTCATTTCAGCCTTCTTTCTGTAAAACAAATATAATTCTCTCTGATGTTGTCCACTTGAAAAGCTGGTGTTAGGAGTGAACGATACGATGTATGTAAAGCATGGGTCCAATTGCTGGATGGTGAATAAGGCACAAGAGGGGAGGGCACACCCCTGGCAGAGAGGCTGTGACCACCAGCTAGGACAGTGAGAGCAGGCACAATCAGGATAGTTGCTGAGGGACTACCTGTGGCGGGGGAGGGGGGCAGAGGGAAGAGCCAGGTCCAGCACGGCTTTGTGTACCAAGCTTCTAAGTTTGGGGTTTATCCTAAAGATAGAATGGAGCTTCTCGAGGATTTCCAGCCGAAATAGGACTGGATTATAACTACGATAAAAGCAAATACTTAATATTTACTATGTGCTAAGCTCAGTTCCAAGTTCTTTGTATTAACTCATTTAATCCTTACATCAAGCCTGAGAGGTACATATAATTATGATCCTCATTTTGGAGATGAGGAACCTAAGTAATTTCTCCTAAGGTCATACAGCTGATAAGTTGAGAAGTCAAGGTCTGAACCCAGGTAGTTTGAGTGTAGCTCAGAGTCCAAGCATACATTCTACCATGCAGCCTCGCAAATGTTTAAGAAAAAGCATACTCGTGTAACAATATTATCATAATCATAAAAACAAGTTTTCTTAAATTCACACATATAAAGCTGTATCACCTATAATACTGCAAGAAATTCAATAGACTCTTCAACACTTATTGAGTGCTTCCTCTCTGTCAGGTGCATCATATGAATTTTCTTACTCAATTGTCTGTGAAACATGTATTAATAATGCTTAATAATTGTTGAATAGCTTGGTCAGGCTCCCTCGCCTCGGGGCAGGTTGGGTGTGGTGTGGTGCATTCTTTGTAAGAAGGCTGTGTGTGGGGGGTGGGTGTAGTGCGCATGCGCAGCACCATGACTTGGCTGGCATCTGTGCTGCGTGGCCATGCTCTCAAACCTTTGGTTCAAGGATCTTTTTGGCTGGTTACCTAACTCATAGACCTGCGTGTGAGGGGACTGGTGACCCAGCCTGGTGTGTGAGGGGTATGGGGACTCAGCCTGGCATGTGAAGGGTTTGTGACCCAGTCTGGACAATGGGCGTGAGGCGTCTATGAGCACCAGACCCAGCCCAAGCTCGACAATTGGCCCAGTCGGCAGTGTTAGGGGCAGGTAAAAGAGTCCAACAATAATGTATTAATAATAGTTATTAACGTATTAATAATGCAGATGATATGAAGGTCACTGTTCATGTAGACCATGGTCTGGCACACTTTTTCTATTACAAACCAGAGAGTAAATATTTCAGGCTTTGTGGGCCAGGCAGCCTTTGTGACATCTACTCAATTCTACCACTGTGGCCCCACAGCAGCCATATAGCAGACACGTACACAGACGGGAGCAGTGGCGTTCCAACAAAACTTTATTTACAAAACAGGTGGCAGGCTGAAGTGGACCATAACTTGCTGACCCCTGACACTGAAGAATCTTGCAACAAGCTAATAAATTGCTACACTAGCAACAGAAAGTGAGACTTGTTGAAGTCAGCAGCTTCTTTAACCCTGAATACCATCTGGAAGGCTGAAGAAAGGCTTAAGGGGATTAACAGAGTGAGGCAGCAGCAGATCTGAGGATCCAGGAAATAGAGAGCACAGGAGGGGACAGGAGGAGGAAGGGGGAGGGGCGGCATAAATTACCTCAGGTGCACTCAGTTGCACACCTGTCAGTCTTTTATGGCCCGCTCCTTAAATCTAAACTGCCTCTTCATGAAGATACACTGCCTTTGCATAGTCAGGATTTGCAGAAATAATCAAAATTGCATTTTTTTCAAGTAAAAGGTTAAAAAAAATTGCAATTGTTTGTCAGTTTCAAGGTTCTTTAAAAATATGTGTAAGTTGCTTCTGAGCCCCCCTTTCCCCAGGACACAGGCAAGCTCCTCATCTGTTCCCCATCACACCACCTCATCTCAGCGGAAAGGCCCCTCCTGTGCACCCTGGCGGGCTGGACACGGAGCAGGGGCCAGGCTGCTGGGCTCTTCCTCTTCCCACGCTCTTCTTGGTGAGCTGGAGTTAAGCCTCCTCTCCTCCCTGACCTCAGGTCCCCTCACTGCCAGATTATCTGATAATATCAGTGAAATATAGTGCTACTTTTTTGCTCTCTTGCTTTTATTAAAAATAAATATACTCACTCATAGTTTGGATGCAGAAGTAATTAATTCACATATTCATGCTATTACTTTAGGGCTCATTCCCACCCTCCCTCAACACTTGATAAGTGACTCATTAGGTAAGAAGCCTTTTTCAGTGAAAACATATGTGCCCTTTGCTTTTGAAGGAAATGAATTAACACTTTAATCTTATTTTAGAAAACAAGCATTTAGACATGGTTATTGCAGACTATGTCCATAATGTGGTTTTATTAGAGAAAGAAGGTTCCTGATTTTGTTGAACTCTGCATATAGCTGGAATGGAGAAATGCTGTTATTCTAGCTCTTGCAGCTTGAGTTTAACTGGCAGTCAAGGGCTGTATTTTAATGAACATAAAGGAAAGAAATAACTGAGATGCTTAGTTACCCTGTACCCTACTTCAGTCTCTCATTCATTTCATGTAATAAAAAGAGAAGAGCTGTGTTTCAATAGCTGTGCTCAATTCAGCAGCTGGTCTTCGTCCTGCAGAAGGAAGCGTTCTGTAATCGTGTGGGGCGTGCACCAGAGCATAAGGGCCATGCACGCCCACACATGCATGCGTGCACTTGTTCTGCGAGAGGCACAGCTAGGACTGGGCTCCCAATCTATCCTCCAATCACTCGGGTTGATTCCGTGAACTGGCACTCAAAAGCACATGTCATGGGAATATGTTCTAATTATAGAGCCTCTATTCGTTAGAAGATATACAAAGTCCCTTTTTCTTTTCCTTGAAACTTTAAAGACTTTCCTCATTAAACTCACATGCCTGGATAAAAATGGTTTCTAAAGGCTTAAAATGGCTTAAGAGGCAGCAATGGATAAAGCAGGGCTTTAGAATCTGGGTTTGAATACTGGTTCTGACACTTCCTAACAGCAGGATCTTGGGCAAGTTATTTAACCTCTCTGAACAGTGGTTTTGTCATCTGTAAAGTGATGATGATAACGGCGATACAGGTTGAAAGTGACTAGCACAGCGCCAGGCATACTTGCCTACAAAATGATTGCTGCGATCGTCATCAATAGCCAGAACAACATCATTAATGGTATCTTTTCCCCACCATCTTTAAAAAAATCTGTGGATGGGGTGAGAAAAATGATTCAAGCCCCCACCCCTATTTGATAGCATATCCTTCTTGCTTCCTAAAATAAACAAAAACCAAATATGTAAGCCAAGCAAAATATGAGAGGAAAAGCCAGGAATGTGAAGTGCAATCTTATTTCCATGTTTCTCTAATAGATTAGTAATTTGTTGGCACTAGCTTTGACAGAAAACAGATGG